CCCAACATCTCAAATAAACAGCACATGTTTTGCTTGCTAAAAATGGGCTACAACCAGTGCAATCAGTTCTTTCCCACACATAATAGCATAATATTCTCAAAGATGTAATTAAATTTGATGTGTTTGAATAAATCCACTAAAATGGATATGAATAGAAGTTATAGTGAGCTACCCAACAATCGAGAGATTTGTCAGGCAACATCCTCTTTACTGCCAATTGAAAGCACCTCAGCTGTCAGTCAACAAACAAAACAAAGAGTGGGATGCTGGGAGCTGATTGTGTTCCCTCAACAAGTCCCCACCCCCACAACCTCCCCCAAATATCTAAAAAGGTGACATTGAGGTGCCCCTTTGGTCCATAGCTGGTGGCCTGTCAGGTCTGTTTGATGTGAGTGAGCAAGAGTGGAGGCGGGAGGGCTGGACAGTAACATGCAGTGACATTAGTCACTCCCATCCGTCTGGGCTGGAGAAAGACGGCCCTGACAATGACTGATGGCTGCTATTCATTTTTAGATTCAAAGGAGAGAAACCGGGAGGCAGTGGGTCCAGTGCTGGTGCTAGCCGTGGTGGTCAAAATCATTTGGCACTATTTAGCACATGGCTCGCTTTGGTTGTGGACTGACCGTGAAATGTGTTTAGGTCCTCTGGTATACTGCACTGACTTCCATACCCAACCTCATCACTACAGTACATGGCTAATTATGAACATGTCATCTAATGTTGTCACAGCTTCCACAAACCACTGTGTATCTCAATAAATTCAATTAAAATCATCCTCAGTGAGTTATGATTAAACCTCCACATGTTTGCTGTAGTAGTAGTAGTTCATAAATGGAAGTACTCCACGACTCTTGTCTGCACTGAGTAGGAGATGCTCTGTATCTCATTTTACATGTGCATAGTGACAATAAAAGGCACTCTATTCTATTCTATTCTATTCTATTCTGATCTAGTCTAGTCTAGTCTAGTAACATGGAATGTTACTAGAAGACATGGAATGACATTTCTGTTAAAACCATTAATAAAATAAAATAAACTCTGATTTAATAGAATCGGACACTTATTTTTATATCTTTATATATTTAAAATAAGTACCTTGATCAATGTGCCACTGGCAGATGGCATCCCAAAATATAAGATGGAAATTGTACAGTTAGACATGGTAATACCTCTGAGAACTAATGCAGGCCCCAGTTAAGTCACAATGTTCATCATCATTAGTGAGTCTGTTATTCTGTTACTGTTGCATAATGGATTTATTTTTTAAGACAAATGTGACTTTTACTGGTGAAGGGGGATGAGTGATACCACCCTAACCTTTATGACTCCATGAGTTGGTTTTTTTCTGAGATTTCTTTCTGAAATACAAACTTGCATTGATAGTGCCATCGATAAATGTTCTCTATTCTTACCTGCTGTCTCATTCTGAGCACTCCCATCTATTTGTTTCACATTTGTCACTATGCGGTTTCCCTATTGTAATTTTGGCCAAAACCATGGCCAAACATGAGAGACCAGGTTATCCAAATAAATGAATTCTTTGTTCTACTCTAGCCTCACAGAGGGTTTTTTAAACTCTTATTGCCATGGGAACAAGGAACCTCCTGAACTGCTCAGATCTTCAGGAAAATCCTATCAGCAATGACATGTTGTGTCATTGCTCTTTCGCCCAGCTGGGAGGCTATGAAGAGAG